CAAGTGGGTGGGGAGGGGAGGGGGGGAGGGGTCGGGGTGCCGCCGTGGGTGGAGGGGGCTGGAGGGTTGCCGCCGTGGGTGGGGGGAGCCGGGGGGGGTTGGGAGTCGTCTGCAATGCGAGTGGGCCGGGGTAGGGCGGGGGATCCGTCCTGCGGTGATGTGTCAGGTGTAGTCAACCGTGGTCGCTTCATGCCGAAGTCCAGGAGGGAGGCCTGAGATGGATTGGCTGGGCGATTGTTGGATGAGGTGGGTGTGGGGGGGAGGGGGGGGGATGAAGCCTGCTGGGCGAGTTGGTTGTGTGCGTCAGCAAGCTGTTGCTGAAGCTGGAGTATGGTGGCCGCGGAGGCCGGGTCGGCCGTAGTGGTGGGTCGGAGGGAGATGAGGAAGTCGAAGATCTTGCTGGTGAGTAGCTTCATGGCTGCTGGTTTGGTGGTCGAGGCGCCCTGCTGCGTGGCTACATGGAGGGCGAGGGCGTCCAGGTCGAGGTGCCGTTGTCGGATTTGGCTGAGTAGTCCAGCAGCAAACACTGATTCCGGCATCGACTTTGCGACAACGATGCGGACTTCGCCTCCGTGGGCGAGGTGACGCAACCACCAACTGTTCCACTGTTCGTGCATGAAGTGGAGGAGGGGGACGCGAGCGATGTCTTGTCCCTCGATGCCCATTTGCCGAGTAAATGCGGTGTGCGTTATGACCTTGGGCAGGTCGTACAACCCCCGCGATCATCGCGGGTGCGTAGGTCGCTAGTGAATCTGGCGTCACGCCCCAAGGCTTCAAAAACACCTCTCGTTCTGGTGATGGGACTGAAGTCGGACGGGCGCTCGAAGCGGGACCCGCGGCGGGAGCGCTTCTGGAACATCTGCCAGGCCCGACGTCGAGCGAAAAGCGCGCGAACCGCGGCCAGAGCGCCACAAACAAAGCGGCGTGCGGCAAAGGCGCCGCGGCCGCTGCGAACAGGGGCCCAGGGGGAGGGGGGGGAATGGGGGTTTGCCGCCGGGTGCAGGGGGGGGAGAGGAGCCGCCAAAGGAGGGTGACGAGGGCGGGGTGTGGTGGGTAATTGGGACATAGGTTTTGGCTCGTCCAACCAGGTTCTGACAGGGGCGCCCGCGTCAGCGACATCGGCCATCGTGTAGTTGGCGGTGTCCATGTCGTGGAAGAGCATCCGTAGGAAGGCCCGGACAGGGCCCCGCACGGGTTTCCGGCCATGTTGTTGCCGTACACGATGCCATGATGATGGGATGCCGTGGGCGAAGGCTGCGGTGGTAAGTTTTGCCTTTGGAGCGCCGTAACCAAACCTCGAGGGGGTTGGAAAGCCATGAGAAAACACGGGGGAAAACACGGGGGAAAAGGAAATGTTCGAACCAAAAGCTGGTGAGCGGAATCAAGCGGGTAAGGTCACAAGGCGAGAGAACGGTCGCAGAGAGGCAGAACAGCAAAGCAAAGAAAAAAAAAAAAAAAAAGCGATCAAACAGTGCACCAATTCTTTTCCTGGTCGGGTGGAAGATGGTACATTTGCGTCCCGCTAAGCCGGGCGCTGCAGCGCGATGCCTCTCAGCATCGCAAACTTGGAGTGAAGGCACCACTTTTTGCCTCGGCGGCATGCAAAGTGGCGCCGCACGTTGTGTTGATCCTCGTGGCTTCCCCCGGATTCGAGGATTTTGTGCTGATTGATGGAGCGTAGTTCCCCAAAAGCGATGGCGCCGCGTTGAGACTTTCCGATTGTAAAGTTCTGCAAGAGCTGGCCGAGCGTGTCGGGCGTGCATGCCGTGGGGGTGGCCTGAGCGTAGCATCCAAAGCTCGGGTAGTCATGGTTCTCTGGCCTCCAAGCAGCGGGTCGGATCATGTTCTCATGGCACATGCGGCGCACTCGATCCGGGGTGGTGCCGTGCACATACATGACAGCGTGATGGGAGGCCGTGCCGGATCCAGCTTCCGGGTCTCCGCCAGCAACTGGCCAAGGATGAGGTCGAGGAAACCAAGTGGTTGCGAACACCATGCCGTGTGATTCCCGTCCCAAGAGGTGGTAGAAGCTGGGATCGAACGGTATGGGATCATCCGTGTCCATGGTTCGTAGTTCCCAGCATTCCGCGAGGAGATCGGCATGTGAAGGTGGCAAAGCAGGGTCCAGGTCCATCAAAATGGCCTTAGTCTGTTCCACCCTGGAGATGTCCAAGGCTGGAAGCGGGTCCAGCTCCCCCAACTCCCTAGGCGTGGGAACTCGCAGCGGGTCAGTCTTGGCCGTGCCCATGACGTTTCTCCATAGATCAAGCCACCGGTTGTCGGAAGTGGTGGTGGCATTGATGTCCGCCTCCGATGGAGGGGGATCCAAATCACCGGTGTTGTCGAAGGGGGGTTGGGGAGGGTGAGGAGTAGCCAGCGTGGGTCGGGGAGGGGGAGGGGGAGTGGAAGTGAAGGCCGCCGCAGGTGCTGGGTGAGGGGGCAAGCCAGTGTTGTGGTGGCCGGTGCGGGAAGTGGGGTGGGGTTGCTGCCCATGGTGCTGCAGTGACCAGGACGATCGTTTGTCCTGGTTGTTCCGGTGGCCGGTGTGGCTGGCGCCATGGTGGTGCATGTCCCAGCGGTTTTTGTTCTGTGGTGGGTATCCCCACGATTGGTTCCGCCAGTGTGAGGAGGACCATTGAGACTTGTTGGAATCCTTCCCGGAAGTGCGCCAGGAGTCCTTCCCGGAAGTGCGCCAGGAGGTGGAATCATGAGTAGTGTGAGTGGGTCGGTGCGAAGTCGTGGTTCTGGGTGCAGGGGAGTGTCGATGGTGGGACCTGTGTCGGGGGGAGCGGGAGCGGAGGGAGACAGTGGAGTGGTGTGCACGTCGGGAGTGGTGGAAGTGTCGGGAAGGGGAACGTGACCTGCGGTAGCTGCGGGATCGTCGGGTGTCGTGTCGTCGGTGCGACTTGTTGTGCCTGCGATGGTGGCTGGTGTGGGAGTGGGAGTGTCGGTGCTGTCTGTGGCGGGAACGGGACCTGCGAGAGTGGGGATGGTGCCGAGTGTCCGGGGGAGGGTGGGTGGTTGAGGAGGTAGCGGCAGGAGCCGCAGCGGCAGCTTCGGGCGCGCGCGCCGGCTGAGGCTCGGGCAGTGAAGATGGCATGCTGCTCTGAGTCATGAAAGGCATGATGGTGCCAGGTGCCAAGTTGCCGTAATGGGGAGGGCCACCGTAGGGCATCATGGCCATCGGGTTGCCAAAGTTCGAGAGGCCGCCGTAGGGCATCATGGGGAAAGGTGTGAAGGATGCCGTCTGCGAGTTGGGTGACGGTACAAGGTTCATGGGCTGCGTCATCTGGGATGACAGCTGCAAGTTCGGTCCACAATGGCCTGGTGAGCCGGACGCGGTGCCGGTCGCAATGCTGTGCAGGAGCGAATGCATCATGTCATAGAGCTGGTGTCCAGCCTTCTCGCAAGGGAGAGAGAAGGTTGGAAAGGGGTGAAACAAAACCACAACTGCGGCAAAAATGCGTCAATGGTGCAAATGCATGCGAGCAAAAATGCGTCAATGGTGCAAATGCATGCGAGCACAAAGGGGTTCTCAGAGGTGCCTGTCAAGTGGCCTCATGAAAGTGCCTCATGTGGTGCCTGTCAAGTGGCCTCATGAAAGTGCCTCATGTGGCTATGCCGATGAATCTGAACTGAACTCATCCGAGACGAAAGCTTCCATAAACACCCCGAATTGCAGAGTTGGTGTATGACCAACTCGTCACTGGCGCATGAAGCTTAGGAACCTGAAACCTCGTGGGCGCAGCCTTGCTTCAAAGGCAGGCAGTGCAACGCACATGAAACCAGCAGAGCACCATTTGGGTGCGGAATACCTTAAGACCTCAAGCTGCAGCCTTGATCGTGGTCAAACGCGCTGAACGGCAGGTGGAATTTGAACGTATGAACGGTCTTCCCCTCGCAGGGGGCTCCCGCATGTGGCGAGTCCAGCCCACAGCGCCATGTCGGACAGGCCGTGGGTATACACACTTATCTCGAGAGGCTTCACTAGCCGAGATGAAAACCGCAGTCAGTAAAAATGCTCGAATGCAAATGCAAATCAACAGGTCACAACATCGACACCGAACAGGAAGCAACAGCGACAAACAGAAACCGCAAAAAGAATCAGGAAAGAGGGTCAGGAAATAGGCAGGTACGCCGGATTGATCAGATCCGGTATCCACCGAAATGCCGTAG